ACATCGAATATTTCATTAAACTAATTTATTGTTTAATTTGTTATGAATATATTATATTATGAATGTTTATTTAGTACTCTGTTATAAAGAAGTTTCCTGAAAGAAGTTTATCCATATGTGATTCTGCCGTATATATATTTATCTATTTAGTACTCTATTGGAAATAAGCCTCCTGAAGAAGCTTATCGTTTCGGTACTCTATTATGGATAAATATTACACCCTGTAGAAGATTATCTATATCTGGTACAATGAGATTATCCTTTCAGTACTCCGTTATGGATAAATATTACCCTCGGTAGAAGATTATCTATATCTGGTACAATGAGCTTATCCTTTTTAGTACTCCGTTATGGATAAATATTACCCCTGATAGAAGATTATCTATATCTGGTACAATAGCAGCTTACACAACATGTTGCAGTAGCAGCTTACGCAACAACTTACACAACAGCTTGCCGTAGCAGCTTGCAGTAGCAGTTTACACAACAACTTCCTTTCTTCTATAAATAGAGGAGTTTTCAGTTCATTATGTGCATCAGTTTGAAGTTGAATAATATATCAGTTTCTCTCTATACTTGTCTTTACTTTACAATCTTTATTTTATAACACATTATCAGCACGAGACTCTGCCATCTCGAGCAAATACTTTGAAAGTATCAGAGAATATGGATAATCCTCAAATTATGTTTGGATCAAAGTCCAATCATGAAGATATTTATGTAATTGATAGTGGAACAACTCATGCCATATTCAAATATCAGAAATACTTTTCTTATTTGCATAAGGAAAAAGCAAATGTTTCAACAATTTCTAGTAATATAAGTTTGATTGAAGGCTCCGGAAGAGCCACTATATTTTTGTCTAAGGGAACAAAACTTATTATAGACAATGCATTGTTCTCCTCCAAGTCCCGAAGAAACTTATTGAGTTTTATACATATCCGTCGAAATGGGTATCATGTTGAGACGATAGATAAAATGAATGTGGAATATCTTTGTATTACAAAGAATGTTTCTGGCCAGAAATGCATTGTAGAAAAGTTACTAACTTTATCTTCTGGCTTATACTATTCAAAGATTAGTACAGTTGAAGTACACTCTATCGTAAACTAAAAGTTTACTGATTCAAATACTTTTGAGATTTGGCATGGCTGTTTAGGCCATCCTGGATCAATAATGATGAGACGAATTACTGAAAATTCGAGTGGGCATCCATTAAAGAACCTAAAGATTCTTATAAATGATGAATTTTCTTGTGATGATATATGTGGACCTATTCACCCACCAAGCGGGTTGTTTAGATATTTTATGGTCCTAATAGATGCATCTTCAAGATAGTCTCATGTGTGCCTACTATCATCTCGCAACCTGGCATTTGCAAAGTTATTAGCCCAAATAATTCTATTAAGGGCACAATTCACAGATTATCCTATAAAGGCTATTCGCCTTGATAATGCTAGAGAATTCTCATCTCAAGCTTTTGATGATTATTGTCTATCAGTTGGGATAAAATTTGAACATCCTGTAGCTTATGTTCATACTCAAAATGACCTTGCAGAGTCATTTATTAAACGACTGCAATGATTGCAAGACCACTACTTATGAAAATAAAATTTCCCACTACTGCTTGGGGTCACGCTATCTTGCATGCAACATCACTTATCCGTCTCAGACCGACACAATATAATAAATATTCTTCGTCACAATTAATTTTTGGTCATGAACCAAATATTGTCCATCTATAAATTTTTGGATGTGCTGTATATGTGCTAGTAGCACCACCACAGCGCAGTAAGATGGGCCAACAGAGAAGGTTAGAAATATATGTTGGGTTTGAATCACCATATATTATTCGCTATCTTGAACCATTGACAGGAGAATTATTTACTTCTCGATTTGCATATTGTCTGTTTGATGAAACAAATTTTCCACAATTATGGGGAGAGAAAAAGGAAATCAAAAAAGAAATTATGTGAAAAGTTTCATCATTATCTCATTTTGATCCACACACCCCTATATGTAATCATGAGGTCCAGAAGATCATCCATTTACAAAATATAGCAATTCAAATTCCAGACGCATTTACTGATTTGAAAAGAAAAACTAAGTCACATATCCCTACAGAGAATGTGCCTATCCGAATTGATGTCCCAGCAGGACCATCTACTAATATGAGAGCTAGTGAACCTAAAGCATGCCTGAAGCATGGTCGGCCTTTGGGTTCTAAGGATCGAGATCCTCGAAAAAAAAATTGACAAATGATCAAAACGATACTATAAAGGGATCTCTTGAAGAGGCCCAAGATCTGATTAGTTTTGAGATTCCCGAAGAAATCAATGAACCCGAGACTCAAGTGAGCGAGAAACTTTTAATAAGTTCTACTAGTGATGGGATTAATTTAAATCGATTTAAAATAGTGGTGGATAATATTTTTGCATATGATATTGCACTTAACATTATGCAAGATAGTGAGGATTTTGAACCTCGATATGTCGAAGAATGTCGACAAAGATCTGATTGGCCAGAGTGGAAATGGGCAATTCAATCAGAATTAAACGCACTTGCTAAAAGAGAGGTCTTTAGACCAGTAGTCCAAACATATGCTGGTATAAAACCAATTGGTCATAAATGGGTTTTTGTGCGAAAAAGGAATGACAATAATAAAGTTGAAAGATACAAGGCTCGCCTTGTCGCATAAGGATTCTCACAACGACCTGGAGTCGATTATAAAGAAATATATTCACCTGTTATGGATGCCATAACATTTCGATATCTCATCAGTTTAGCCTTACGTGAAAGGCTTGAAATATATCTGATGGATGTGGTTACAGCTTATCTGTACGGGTCACTTGATAATGAGATTTACATGAAAATCCCTGAAGCAAAGTCAAAATCTCGAGAAATGTATTCAATCAGATTACAAAGATCGTTGTATGGTTTAAAAAAATCTGGACGTATGTGGTATAATCGCATTAGTGAATATTTGTTGAAAGAGGGTTACATAAATGATGTTATTTATCCATGTATTTTTATAAAGAAATGGCATCAGAATTTATTATAATTGTTATTTATGTTGATGACATAAATCTTGTTGGAGCTCTAGAAGAGCTCCAAAAAACAATTGAATATCTTAAGAAAGAATTTGAGATGAAAGATCTTGGAAAGACAAAACTTTGTCTTGGTCTGCAAATTGAACATTTAGCAGACGGAATCTTTATACATCAATTTGCCTATATAGAAAGGGTCTTAAAACGCTTTTACATGGACAAAGCGCACCCATTGAGTACACCAATGGTTGTTCGATCACTTGAAGTGAATAAGGACCCGTTCCGACCTCCAAAAGAGGATGAGGAACTCCTTGGTCCTGAAATACCCTATCTCAGTGCAATTGGTGCACTTATGTATCTTGCTAATGCTATAAGGCCTGACATAGCATGTTCTGTTAATTTACTAGAAAGATATAGCTCTTCTCCTACACAAAGACATTGGAATGAGATTAAGCATATTTTGCGATATTTAAAGGGAACTATTGATATGGGTTTATTTTATGCTAACAAAGGTAGTGCAAATCTTATTGGTTATACAGATGCAGGTTATTTATCTGATCCCCATAAAGCTCGATCTCAAATCGGGTACGTGTTTACATGTGGAGGTACTGTCGTATCATGGTGCTCCACAAAGCAAACTATTATTGCTACTTCTTCAAATCATGCTGAGATAATAGCTATTCATGAAGCCAGTAGGGAATGCGAATGGTTGAGATTAGTGATTCATTTTATTTAAGAAAAATGTGGTTTGGAATGTGATAAAAGATCCACAATTTTATACGAAGACAATGTTGCATGCATAGCCCAATTAAAGGGAGGATTTATAATAGGAGATAGAACGAAGCACATTTCACCAAAATTATTCTACACATGTTCTTTAGAAAAATGGTGATATTGATGTGCAACAAATCCGTTCAAGTGATAATCTTGCAGATTTATTCACTAAATCTTTGCCAACTTCAACTTTTGAGAAGATGGTATACAAGATTGGAATGCGGAGACTCAAATATTTGAAACAAGATTTTTATTAGGGGGAGTACAATATGCACTATACTCTTTTTTCCTTACTAAGATTTTTTCCACAAGGTTTTTCTTATAAGGTTTTAATGAGATAACTAGTTATGCGTATCACTAAATATGTGTACTCTTTTTCCTTCACTAGGATTTTTTTCCTTGGGATTTTTCCTAGTAAGGTTTTAACGAGGTACATTATCTTTTAATGAACATCCAAGGAGGAGTGTTATGAATATATTATATTATGGATGTTCATTTAGTACTTCGTTATAAAGAAGCTTTCTGAAGAAATTTATTCATATGAGACTCCGCCGTAAATATGTTTATTTATTTAGTACTCTATTGAAAATAAACCTCCTGAAGAAGCTTATCCTTTCGGTCGTCCGTTATGGATAAATATTACCCTCGGTAAAAGATTATCTATATCTGGTACAATAACAGCTTACAAGCAGCTTACACAGCAGCTTGCAGTAAAGCTTATACATTAGTTTCCTTTCTTCTATAAACAGAGAAGTTTTCAGTTCATTATATACATTAGTTTAAAGTTGAATAATATGTCAGTTTCTCTCTATATTTATTTTTATTTTACGGTCTTTATTTTATAACTTAATTCGCAATTTTCTTTGGTAAAGACTTATAAAGGTCGAGAATTACAAGGATAAAGGACTACAATTGGATTATCAGTTGCATGCCGCGTGTCATGATATCCACCTGCATAATCATTGCTTTTACACTTGTAACTTTCTCCAACTATAAATTGGCCTATTTTAGGAAAATGAATCTTACGCAGTACTCCTGGTGTTTGCCTTTTTTGGAAAACTCGTAACATTTCCCTCCATATAGGGCAAAACCTTACCTTTCTCATAAAAACAAAGCAAACCCTAAAATCATAATCAGGAAATAAAAAAAGGAAGCACGAAAATATAAGCTTAAACACATATGGCGGAATCTGTAGACACAAACAATTCTCCAATTAGCAAGAAATCAACAGTAGGGCGTTCGAGAAAAGGGTGTATGAGAGGGAAAGGAGGACCAGAAAATGCGTTGTGTACATTCAGAGGAGTAAGACAAAGGACATGGGGCAAATGGGTTGCTGAAATAAGAGAACCAAATCGCGGAGCCAGAATTTGGTTAGGCACTTTCAACACCTCCCTCGAAGCCGCCCGAGCCTACGACGACGCCGCACGCCGCCTCTACGGCTCCGGCGCGAAGCTCAACCTCTCGGAATCCGAACAACCTTCTAATGAGAATTTCAATTCTGGGGAAAATTGCATAATTGGCAGCGGGAATGGGAATGAAAGTAGTGGTGAGTGTTCTGTACTAGAGGAAGCATCGATATTTAAAGATGGGAATGGGAAGTATTTGGTGTGGGAGAATCCGGCGCCGAGTTTGTTGGATGAACAATTGTCCACTGGTTTCAATTGGAGTACTAATGAAGCAGAAGATAATACTAATTTTAGTTTTGAGGAAAAGGAGTTCTACGATGATTATTTTAGTCCCAAGGATTTTCTTTTCCATGTGTAATGGTGTGTAATAATGCTAGTTCCTAGCTTTTTTCTACTATTTCTTCTTATTCCTCTTTTTTGTTTTTTGTAGAGACGGAAAATTGATGCAGTTTTGTGTATTACTGCCTACTATGGTAGTTAGTAGGTTTGTTAGCTGTTTCTTTCTTTAAAACAGTAAGATTGGTCAACTGGTATTGTATATCGATCTAATGTTTGCAGTGTAAGATGTGACGTTAATTCACGGTTATAGCCTCTGATCTTGTTTTATTGTGTATGGTAATTCGATTTTGGAAATATATAAATAGTGGTATAAAGAAAAAGATTGACTATTCTCTGAACAATAGTGTCTTGGTTTCTTTTAAGTATTACTTTACTTTTTCCTTTCCTCTAACTAATAAAGGAGAGTTTGAGAAGCTTGGGGTCGTCAGGGGTAGTTTTGGAAAAATTATAACTGCTTTAGCCTAACACACGTGGTATCGTTATTTTATCCAGTTTTGACACGTACAGCCGTCAAAAGGAACGCACAGTGTATACGCTGGTTCTTCTTCCAGATTCTCACAATTGCTCAAATCCTCTTCTAGTTTCGCTTGGAAAATGGGCGTTAATTTTGCCTCTGTTTTTTGACCTTATTCTCCAACGATTTCACTTCTCTCCTTGGATCTATACTCTATGCTATGACCAGATAACAGATCTCTTGTTCAACTTTAAAGGTAATACATATTTCTTGCTTACAGTAAAGAAATGATTTTTTTAAAGTGAATTTGTTTGGGTTCTAGGTATTTTTCTGATTGTTGTTGTGCAGAAATTGTTTATATTGGGTAAATTATTAGTCCATCATTCTCCGCACTGCGACAGCTTGTGAACTCTGTTGCTTAACCAAAAGTCCTAAATTGAGGGAAATGCTAACGATACTCTTTTCTCCTGAGAAGAAAGCCGCGTATTGATGAAGATACAAAGGAGAATGGGAAATGTGATTTTCCCAATTGAAGCACATTTACAGAAGTGCAAGTCATACACTCTGTACTAATAGACTTGATTGTTTTCTTTTTTTCCTGTGTAGAAAAGGTTTTAATTTTTATTTTAACTGTAAGAATCCAATTAGTCAGGAATCGAACATCACTCAAAAATGTATTTTATGATCATCTTATCCACACTAAAATACTCAAAAGGTAGATGTGTCAATTAGTAGGATTATCTCAACAACATTTTCAGTCCCATAAAAAATTCTATATCCCCAATTTATAGAATCATGAATTATTTATTAGCTCATTAAATAATTTAAAATTCCAAAATTCCAAGAAATTCTTGATATATTTAATCAGCTATCCTGCCATGTCCTAAAAGATATAAATCCATGATCCGAAGTACAAATGAAATCTGTACTTCATGCTTTGTTGTTGTTCTCTAGCGAGCAGAGTAAGACCGTCCAATGGGACGGGCAGTCCCGGTCCAGTCCCACCCCGTTCGGGCCCACTTAAATCTAAACGGGATGGGCCCATGTTAAACGGTACACGGGATGGGACGGGATGCCCATTTCGTCCCGTTTATCCCGTCTCTGTCCTGTCCCGTCCCGTCTGTCCCGCGTGTTTTTTTAATATTATGGTATATTTGTGGAATTTATATTGTATTTGGTAAGTATGAAACAAATCCAACCTATCAGTAGCATCGGAGAGCGCTTTTAGCGTGATGATTTCAAATTGGAGGTCATATACATTCATTAGTGGAGGATATCCTAGAGATTTTCGTTTTATTCAGAGATTGGATTAATTCAGAAAGAGGAAATCTTGGTTTTGAAATATTAACCACCGGGGAAGAAGAATACAATGAGATACTTAGCACTGGGAGCGATGACGACATGGAACTCATTGAACATCAATCAACATTGCCAATTCCAGAACAATGTTCGAGAGAAATTATAGATAAGTTACAACGAAGCTATATAAGAGCTTACAAATATTAGTATGATAATTTGTAGTTGGCTACTAAGAGGCATAGGTCAAACAGAACCCTTCCTAGAAGGTGGCTACGTATATTAGGTGCTTTTCAAAGAATTATATTTGTATGAGAAATTTGAAAGTTCTATTATTAATAAAAGAAAAGGCTCTAAGCCTTGAATTTTTTATGAATTGTCTTACACTATTACTAAGTTACTTAATGGCTTGACATTATATTAAATAAATTATAACTCTATTATAATTACTAAAATATTTCATTACAAGTCTTTTGTTTTAATATTTTATAATTCTTTACTTAGTTTCCTAATTTCCTTATAATTTATTAAGTTTAAGTTTATTAAATAAGTCAAAAAATTAGTTTTTAAAAATTTTAAAAACTTAATCATTGTCAAAAAATAAGCCGTTGTCAAACTTAATGCTTAAATAATTAATTATTTTAAAAAAAGCGGCCCCCTTAAGGCCCGCAAAATCGTCCCGTCTCGTCCCATCCCATTTGTTAGCGGGATGAGATGAGCCTACCGTTTTGTCCCGTTTAGGCTAGTTCGCCACCGTCCCGGCTAAATGTCATCCCGTCCCGTCCTATCCCATTGGACAGCCTTAGAGCAGAGTATGTTCATAGGTGATGTGTGGCCAAAATGCTATATTTTAAGTACATTACCCGCCTTACTTGTTGTTAGTTTAGTGGTTAATTGTACGACGTTTGAGCTTAATTATGTTGTTTTATGTGTAGGAGTATCGCAAGACAAAGATAAATGAAAGTTGCACAAAAAGAGGACAACAATGCAAGAAAAGAGAGAGCACAAAAGTATCAAGACCCCAAACCGTGCTACAGACCAAGTGAAGCCATCTCTATAGCCATCTTGACTGCTCTATAGACTAGGCTTCACGAGGTCTATAGCCAACTTGACCGCGCTACAGATCAGGTTTCACGAGGTCTATAGCCAGGTTGACCGCGATATAAGACTGGTTTCGCGAGGTTTATAACCCGGTAATTAAAAGTCATGAATTAAAAGACTGGCCCATATTTGGACCCAAGGACTTAAACCCTAGCTTATAAATACTCCCTAAACAGGTTTTTGGAGGAGGAGGACATTTTTAGAGAAAATTCGGCCTAAAGAAGACGCTTTTGGAGAGAGGATTCGACTTAAGGAGGCAAAACACGCTAAGAGCAAGGCGAAGAATTTTTCTACGAGTTTTTCATTTCCTTCTTCCTATTTTCATTATTGGTTATGAATTCTATTATTGTACTTTTGCATACTATTATGAATAGCTAATTTGTTATCTACGGTTTTGATGGAACCTTTTGTAGGATGAATTCTTATTACGTTTTTATATAATTTAGTCGTTGGATTTCTCTACTTGTTCAACTACATGTTTATTGTTGTTTATTGAATGACCATCAATTGACTGTGCCTATTTAGTGTGTATATTGCTCGAGAGAGAGTACACATTTAGGTAGTTGTTGAACAACATCACTCATAACGTATGTGAGAGATCAATAAGGAGGGTTTAAAGGCGAGATTAGAGATCACGAAACCTTGGTGGGATCGTAGTAACATATGTGAGAGATCAATAAGGAGGGTTTAAAGGCGAGATTAGAGATAACGAAACCTTGGTGAGATCGTAGTGAGCGGTGAATTAGTGCTAGCTAGCGTAGTTAGAGAGAATACGTCTAGAAAATTGTGGTTGCTGCTTGAGAGAGCTACGACACCCAAAGTACTCACGATCGGTAGAGAATACTTAGGCGAAATTATAGAAGACGTAGCGAGAAGGATACCGGCAATTGAAAAAATCATAACTCTAGACCTCCTTAATCTTTTCTCCAACCCTTAGTATCTTTAGTTGTTAATTCACTCCTTTAATTTGTTAGTTAATTAGTTTAACATAAGAATCTTTATATTTATAACTTAGTAATTGTTCGAGCTTTTCTTCTTAGTGATAATCAACAGTTGTAGCTAAACCTTATTTCTCTGTGGGATTCGACTACGGACTCTTAGACCGGATTATATTTGCAGCGACCGCTTATCCTTTTTAAGACTAGAATTGGGCGTGATCAAATTTTGGTGTAATTGCCGGGAAACTAATAGTGCAACTGTAGGTGTACATATTTCTAGGTTTCAAGTTTGAACTATATTTTGTTTTGTTTTGTTTTGTTTTTTTTATTTTATTTTATTCTACTTGTTGATTTGAGAAAATGACATCGTGGAATTATGGGAGTTTAGGTGTCGGTAATTCTAGTATTGATCCTCATATATATTGTGAAGGAAATCACCCGTGGTAAAATTATCAAAATATTCCGAAGAGCGAGTTATGTGCACTAACTCAATCTTATGTGTGGAATATATGTGATGCTTGTGGTGGTCAAGATGGTCACTTTTATGATTGTGCTTGTATTTATTATCCTCCCCCAACCCCTTATTATGATGGTTCTACATTTTCAAGTGAAGTTAATAGGAACAAAGAACCTGGGGAAACTGACCTGAAAGAGATCAAAGATAAGTTGAAGTGCCTTGTAGAACAATATGATGAAAAACACTGCAGATACAAAGGCAAGAGGCAACTATTCACAACTTGGAGGCTCAAGAGAATAAATTAATTGAACCTTGTAAAGCGCAACAAGCTTACATTGTGGATAGTAGCCAAGAAGAGCCTGAATTGGCTGCAGAAATTATCATTATAATGGAAGAGTTGAGAGTAGAATATGACAAAACCAACCAACTAGAATTTGATGATGTCGATGTTGAAGATGTGGTACTGGAGTCAACTAAGGACCTAACAGATACAATTTTAATTGATTCTAGTTTGTGGCAAGAAGAGGAGGTCGATAACAAGTTGCATTTTCAGTTTGAGTGCATTTGTGCTCACTCCAATCGTTTTTCGACATTGTGTTCGGAAGGAGTTATGAAAATTGATCTGTATGAGCCAATGCAAGAGTCAAAGGAAGAGGTGGATGAGCCATATATTCTGAAATTTTCAAGGCCGTCTATGCAAGGTGACACTCCTCGGTTGATCCAAAAGTGCATAAAGAATCACTTAATTTTTTGCTCGCAACAATTTGTATTTC